TTTCTTGTTTTGCTTTTCCTCTGGCTTGTGTGATTTGCTGCTGCTGCTGCAGGACTTTTAGAGGCAGCCGACTCATGACCCCCCCCCCCCCCCCCCCCGTTTTTTTTCTCCCCCCCCCCCCCCCCGCAGGCAAGAGGCCGCACCAGTGTCAGATCTGCAAGAAGGCCTTCAAACACAAGCACCATCTCATCGAGCACTCGCGGCTGCACTCGGGCGAGAAGCCCTACCAGTGCGACAAGTGCGGGAAGCGGTTCTCCCACTCCGGCTCCTACTCGCAGCACATGAACCACCGCTACTCCTACTGCAAGCGGGAGGCCGAGGAGCGGGAGGCGGCCGAGCGGGAGGCCCGCGAGAAGGGCCACCTGGAGCCCACCGAGCTGCTCATGAGCCGGGCCTACTTGCAGGGCATGACTCCCCAGGGCTACCCGGAGCTGGCCGAGCGCGAGGCCATCCTGAGGCGCGACGGCGTGAACGGAGGGATCAGAGAGGGGCGCAAGGAAGTGGACGGAGGGACGTACGCCAAAATTGGACGGAGGGACGAGTTTGACATGGAGGAGGAGGAGAGCAAGAGCATGGACACGGACCCGGACACGTTGAGGGACGAGGAGGAGAACGGAGAGCACTCGATGGACGACAGCTCGCTGGACGGCAAAACGGAAACCAAATCGGATCACGAGGACGCCATGGAGGACGCCATGTAATCGGCGGCGGCCGCTCAGAAGCTTCCCTATCTTTTCAACCTTCTTTGAGTTCCCCCCCCCCCCCCCCCCTCTTTTTGGTTGAGTATTCTTACCTGCTCGGTTTAAAACGCCCGTGTTTTAAGCTGCACGTGCCTGAAGCTTCCGGGAAGCTTTCTTTGACGGACTCCTCGCGGGATGTGGGCGGGGGGGGGGGGGGGGGGGGGAGGGGGGAAAGGGGGGGGGGAGGGGGGGAGGGGGGGGGGGGGGAAACGATGTCAGCCGAACAAGACACACGGACTTTTAAAAATCAATCGGAAGGAAGGAAGCGTGGAAGGAACGGAGGCATGGGTTTGTGAAATAAGCTGCATTATGCAAACCGAACAACAAATAAATGAATACATTTCAAAAAAATGTACAGTATTAAGGCCTAAAAATATGTGTGGTGCTAACCTCCTCAAATAAAACCCCCTGTGTTCCATAGTATTTATAGCACAACTAGTGACTTGTACAAATTGCACTCCGCTTCTATAATCATGAACAAAAATACTAAAAAGTATCGCCTATGTATATATTTATACAGTGTTGGAAAAAGAGCAGTAGTCTCTGCACTACAGTCCTTCGATATTACCTTTGTTATCACCCACCTACCTACGGTGTCGTATTTAGTTCCGCCATGTTGCAAACCATCTCCAGCCACACTGTTTTAGGCCTCTTAAATCAATTTCAAATGAAGGAATTTTAAACTGTGTGAAGGTGATTTAATTTTTTTTTTTTTTTCTTTGAAGAGGATGAAGTTTAAAAGAGACCTTCGTTTTAAGGGAAAATACAGTTTATGGACTGATGGTGTTTTTTGGGGAGGGAGGGGGGGGGGAAAAAAATGAAGGACGAAGCCTTTGTAAGGTGTTTTTGATAAGAAAAAATAAGCCTTATATGCAAACCTTTTAACCTGTGTGTTTTCTGCAAGTGCCACCCTCGTATTGTGTAAAAGGAAGGTTACTTTTTTTTTTCTTCTCACCAGCTTCAGTATTATGAAATGGTTCACCGTTGTTCTTTGAAGCACCCGTGTCAGTATTAAGACTTATAGGCAGCAGTTCCTTAGTTTACATTATGTTGTGCAATGTTTTCTCAGTTCTTTTTCTTTTGTCAGTATTACACCAAACCATTTTTTTTAAAAACAGCAAAATTGCATTCATTTATTTGTAGGTTGAAAAAAAAACAAAAAACATTATTTATGTGGCCCATTTTATATTTCCTAATTTTATTTATTTCATACTGTTGTGTACAGTACTATAGTTCTTCAATATATAGATATATTTTAGTAAAAAGGAACATGGTGTCGATCATAGGGGCAAATTTTACGTAAAGAGAGCATTTATTGTGTTTTGAAACATTGTGAAATGCGAAGTTTAATCTTATTTTATTTTATTTTCCTTTATTTTCCAGTTACTGGAAAATTCCAAATTTGGGAACTTTTATACAATTGTGAAAACACTGTATTTTCGACTGAAAAATTCCACTTTCTTCATCTTTGTTTTCTTTTTTTAAGCTAGAAAAAAATGAAGAGGGACTGTTAAATACTATGTATGATATCCTGACTGAAAAAGAAATCTTTCCTGAAATGTCTTTGTAAAAGTATTATTGAATTCTTAATTTGTAATTTCTCTTGAAAATGACCCTGCTCGAATAAAAGTAGCCAAATTACAGAGTACCAAACCCTCCGCGCCTCGTGTTGCTTCACAAACAGCAGGCCCAAGTTGTTGTAAAATTCTCCACAATCACGGGGGGGGAAAAAAAGAGACTTTTTCATCTCGGTTCATTCGGGAGCCGCGTCCGTTTCTGTTTCTCATTATCATGTTAATAAGACACAGTTTCAGAGCACGTTTTCAAATGGATCAAAGTGACTTGACCCTGGCCCTGCTGCTTATTATCTCTCATTTGGCCAAAACTAAACATTTCTACCAGATTTTCCCACCTGTATTTGCTCTTCCCTTTTCAAACCCTGAATATCAGCATTTACTTAAAATACTTTGTAACGACGTAAATAGTTCCTTATTGGGGGAAAATTTCTTCTTGTTTTTTTATTTATTTACTAAAAATGATTAACGGTTTTTGGGGAATGACTGAGAATATGTTTAGAGGAATTTGCAGACTTGTTCTTTGAAAATTGGCTCGCATCAGAGAGCAAAAGGGGAAGATGCTTCAAAGGGGTTCCAGACCTGAAACCTGTGCTTGATTTACAAAACACAATCTGGAGCTCCTATAGTTTTAATTCCCACAGTACGCTGCATTTCCTGGGCCTTTTCGAAGCCCTCTGATTTATTTTGGTTCATCATTATGGGGATTACATCTGAAAGTTGTTACATGTTTCTGGGTGGTGGCATTTGGAAGAATCGTCCAAATCTAAACTGATTACGTTTCAAATCGAGACATTTCGAGGCCTCAATGCCGACTTTAGCCACAAGCAACAGACCGTCGTCCACAGTTTTGTCCACAGTTTCGTCCACAGTTTCCTCGCATCCTCTAGTTTCCCTTAAGTCTTGAAGTCGGATCTGATGGTCAGTGGCTCAGGCCTCCAGATCTGCACGCGACATCTCCTCATTTTTTCAAAGCCAAGAACGCTACACAAGGCTCATTCCAAAACTCTCCTGAGCTCTGACAGGTGGACTCCAGCCGATCCTTCCTCTCCAGTGAAGGAGGCGCCTGGCTCCGTTTGGCCACTCGCGCCGCGCTATGCAGATTAAAAAGCAACATCAAACGGCCCGAGATGAAAGCAGGAAAGGTTGAGAGATGCCAAACATCAGAACGCGCTTTGCATATTCCGATTTTCCTATCGATCGGCTCTCCATTGGATCACGCGCGCACCATCTCTCAGATAAAAGAGGGGGGTCTTAAATGATTAGCGGGTGAATTTGATAATGTGCTGTGAACTGCCCGGACTATTACGCATGCAAAAAAAAAAAAAGAGTGCTCGTGTCAAGACAGGCGAGGAGGGAACCCTCTGGAGTATATCGCTATCATTAAGAGAGAAATTTCAACCTTCCTCTGCTTTTACATTTCACATCTATTAGACTTCGACCCTCTAACTTCACAAGCAACTAATGGGGAGGTCAAAGGTGAAGATGGATGTGATGAAACAGTCCTGCAACCTCAAAGTGGTGGAGACAGCGAAGGAGATGGCTGAATTAGGCAACAGAGGAAAGAGAGAAAGCGGGGAAATTAACATTTATAAGATCCCCATGCGGTGGAGGGGGAAAACTGGAAAAAGAGGTGTGGAAGAAAGAGACTTTTTGATGCTGAATGATGCAAAGTGTGGTATCTAAAGCCGTCTCCTTTCCTGTGTTGTTTTTTTTCTCCTCTGTCTCTCTGAATTCCCCTTGTCACTCTCCGATATTGGCGGATAGTGATGTTGATCCACTCCAGTCTTACATTTGCTGATCAATATTGTCCTGCGCTATTAGCCGTCGGAGCAGAGGATGACAGCTTCTAATTGCAATCAAGCTGCACGCTGGTGCCGCCGATTGATTTTTTTGGTGGGTTTGCGCGGTTAATTTCACATCTCGCTGTATGTTTTGATGGAAAAGGCTCCCTGTAAAACGTCAGGATTGCCTTCATACTCCCCCCCCCGGCACGGCCGTCATCTAATATGAAATAATACGCTAGGGCCTGATGCCAGATTAGTGCCAAGCGGTGCCGTAAACCCCGTTAGAAATGCATCTTTAGTCCCGAGTAGGCTCCTTTTTTCGGTGTTATCTGCTCCAACGTGCGGACCTGTTTGGCCTCTCTCTCTCTCCGCTCCTTCTCCTCTCAGGCCTCGGTGATTTTGATCTGCTCTGATGTAAAAACGGCGTTGGGAGTGTTGGCCGGCTCGCGGAACGTTTAAAAAAGGCAGCAAAAAACAACAACACGAGCGTGTAGTAGTAATTCATACGAGTGTCATGCAGCCATATGCCCGGGCCAGATTGGTGGTGTATTTTGGACAGCTGAGCTCTGATGATTCACTGCTGGGCCTTGTGTAGACCAAAGCTAAGTGTACATTTTGCCTCAGGCTGCTCTGCTGCCTCTACAGATACACTTAGTAGTAAAAATCGACTCTTTTCTCAAAAAACACTCCTCCCGTCTCCTTTTTTTTTTTTTTTTTTTTTTTCCTCATCTCCTCCGGCTTTAATCTCTTACCTGCACCTCGTGTTTTCCCGCGGTAAAAGAAAAAAAACACATTCTGCGCGTGGTGAAAGCGCGTCGGCTTTTAGTCGTCACGCCGACCGGTCAGTGAAAAAAACAACGCAAAAAAAGCAGGGCATGATGGTGCCACGAAAAGAAAAGAAAGAAAAAAAAGAGAAGGGTTACAGTATGGAAAAAAGGAGGCAGAGCATGGCACAGAAGGCAGCCAAATGAAGAGGTAGGAGGAAAAAAGATCAAGCTTTAATGCACAAAATAATAGTGATAGAGCTTGACAGAACATGGTGAAGGCCAGTGAATGAAAATAGGTTTGAGGTTTGGTCGCAACCGAGGTTTCGAAGAGTGTTTTCTTTTTTTCTTCTTTTCCCCATTTTGAAGTTAGGCTGAGCAACCCTGCAGAAGAGATTAGCCCCTGAAAATAAAACAAGAGTTTTGCATCTGTTGGAGAGGAGGAGGAGGAGGAGGAGGAGGAGGAGGAGTCTCAGTGACAAAGAAGTCTCAGTTTGACAGTCAATCCAATCTATGAAATACACAACATGGCTGCCGCTCCCTGCTCATGGGCGGCTTGAAGTCATTTAACAGTAAAAACCCGCCTATAACTGATTATCATGAATCGTCCTTAGCTAATAATTTTTCAAAATGTGTCATTTCACCAGATCTTTACCGGTGAACCATGCGTGACCAGGTGATGTTATAGGCTTTTGAGCAAATATTGCATGTCCAAAACATAGAGTATGAGTTAATATGGATCCAGTGCGTCTCTCAAAAGGCATTAAACTAGAGACACAACTGCCATGACATTTAGGATTAGCTGGAACTAGGTACGTAGTATTTATTTTTCTCTC